TTCTTAAGATTCAAAAGTATTATACTTTTCAATGTAACACACCCGTAATTATAAATTATATGATTCAAATATATTGAATTGGATTTCCAGAAATGAGTAGAAATTAAATTGAGGAGTTACTTTTTATTTCGCTTCGTTAGATTGAATATATCAGAGACAAACGTTTGCCGTTTCGCCATTATTGACTAAATAAAAACTTATGAGTATGCAATAGCGATTCAGAATTTTAACGTAATCCCGTTTTAAATTATGAGATGTTTAGTTATCTTGTGGAATTCAATGACCGACTCTGTTGTAGAATGCAGGTCTTTGACCTTTTTTGTTTCAGAAAGGCCGCAGGAGCAGCTTTGAATCATGCGGTGAAGATATATGAAAGGAAAGCCACTGAAATGTAGAATTTGTATTAAGCATGTATTTTAACTTATATAAAAAGTTCGTTGCCAGTTTCGAATTGCCAACCTCGTCTTAATTTTAATGAGACAGTTTTGAGTAAATGGACTTCCTTAAGAATTTATTTTAAGAAAGTCACAATTAAATCTTAAAATTCGAAACATATGAACGTAAAGTCACTGGAAAAAAAGTAGTACCTTTAAGAAATCTGCAACTACTCTAAACTAATATTTATGTACCTGGTGCACCATTTTGGCTTTTAAAATTGTTTGAGAGAAGTTTCAAAATGTAAAAAATTATGTTTCAATTTTTGTGGTAATTTCATTATTTTCTGATCATTTATAATGAATTTTGTGCTTAATTTGTACAAAGTTGTATATGAGCATTGTAAAATCGTTTAATTAAGATATTACGATGTAATTTTGTATTAAGATCGTGGGAAAATATAAGAGCGTCACTGACAATATGGAAACCTTTATTTCTGATCTTTGCAAAGAATTCCCAAATACCATCTCCCTAAAGGTATAACAATGTTCCTGACATCTTACATTTAAATAAAATTTATGTTGACTAAGGGGAATCAATTTACTTCAGTTTCTTGAAACTTTAATTGAAATTACAAAATTGTGTACATTTGCAATTAATTTAATATAAATTTAGAATAAGTTCTGACTTCTACACAAAACCCAAAAATCTGAACAAATCAAACGGCAATGGAAGCCATGGTTAGTGGAATTTTAAATTACACGTGGTAGTATGGCAAATTGAATATTTCTAGAGGTATTAATTAAACGTAAATAAAACAATTTACATTTGATATTTGTTAAATTAAAATTAGTTGAATTATAAAGTAACATGTGAGAACGTAATTTTTGTCCTAGAAATGCCAATCATTTAGTTACACAATATCGAAGTAAACGGCTCGAGTATTGGATTGCGGTGTTCAGTTGAGAAATTTTTCAGGAAACGAAAATTCAGTAGGTTACAGCACTGTCGAAGAGGAATTTACATTACCGGCAACGCACGTCGTACATTAACAAGGTATATTTTGCGGAACGGCAAAAGAGTTCATAAGCAGTTTCCAATGATTTTTTTTCTGCGACGTGCGTTACTTATCACAGTGTCAACGCAACTTTCGTAAACAGATCTAATACATTAACGCTGTGAAGCATTTTTTTTCAAAAGTTGCCGAAACCCATTTTTTAAGTTTGTTTTACCGTAAAGAAATTTAAAAAATGTAAGCTTATAGCTGGATGGTGGCACGCTTTCTGAATCCAGCGCAGTTTCAACCGTCCAAATGTGATGAATCTATGCGTTTTTAAAGCGAAATTTGGAAAAATGTCCCGACGTCCCCAGGTCGAGCAGTCTTTTATATTTGATGAAAGCTAAATGAGTCTTTCGATTAAATCCCATACGTTTTCCTATTACTTGTATGGTAAAAATATCTCTCCAAGGACGTCCTTTTGTGAAACAATTTTGTTCTATTACAATACCGTAGATATTACCGAGCCTTTTATTTAAAATTTGTGCGTAGGTTTTTCAACAATACTAGTTCAAATCGAAAGTATTAATGTTTAGTGGGTCTAACAAGCCTGCTCCATGGTTAACTTCTTGACTCTTGTGGTCTGCTGCTCCATGAGTTACTAATGAGCAAAAAGCCCTAATGAAAGAACTCGTACGCCCAACTGTTTTAAATATATTAAAACGTATGATAATGAAAAAGATTAGAAAAGACTTGGACATTTTGTATACAGGCCAGAAACGCAAAGATTCATTTGTCTCACGATCTTTTCAAGCAAATTGTATGGAGCATGAAACACGTTGAAAAAAGTTGGAATTTGAGAGCTAGGTCAAATAATTCATTCAATATTCCGTTAGATGACCTTAGACTTTACGCACCCGCTGTCCATGAAATAGACCCTACGTTTAAAGGAAAGTCACTGCAGATGCTGGTAACATAAGCACCTCTCTCCAATTATTGTTTCCACAATGCACATTGCGAAAAACTAGGAAAATAGTTAATGCAAAGCGTTTGGCCTTCAGGCGTTTTGTCGCCGCTCGGTAATTAGAACCCTTATTTCGCCCTAGGTGAATAAATATTTTCTTTAACAACTAAATATTTCCCCCAAATGTAGAAATGTAGCTTTTGTGCTACGACTACTTCTAATATGATCAACCTTTCCAAACCCTTGATTTCCGACCTAACCGATAACCGCAAATAGAATCGTTATAAATTATTTTCTCAATTTTTGCCAAATTTGGCATTTTCAGTAATGGTTTTAAAGCATGAAAGTTGTTTTGCACAACTAATTAGCAACAATAATAGCGACAATTTCCCACGTAAACCTTTTTCATTGATGTTTGTGATATCTTCGTTTTCCTGAAATTATTGGGCAAGTAAGTTAGCAGAAAATTGTATTTCCGTATTAATTGAAGAGCAACAAAATTTCGTTTGTGGTAACTATTTAGCCCCCATGAAAGCGAAAATTTCTTCAGTAGAGAGTTTTTTTATTTACCAATATTTTTTTGTAATAGTCGGAATTTAGAATTCCCGTTAAGGTTAAGTGACGAATATTATTTTTAAATCACCACTAGTAATAGTTTCGTATGCCTATCGTGATAGTTGAGAGCGTGAGATGACGCTCAAATATTCTGATAAATATGTGAATCCAAAGAAAACGTAATACTACCGTGTGACCGCAACACCTGTTACCTCAACGTGTCATTAATGATTTGTGTACTAGAATAAACATAAAGGGAAAGTCAGTGAGGCTGTTTAAAAATAGTGTATGACACGCGTGGTAGAAGTGATTACGATACTCGTGGTAAAAGTGATTTTATTCTGCAAGTAGAAATTATTGCGCCACGCATGGTAAAGGTTATTTTATTCCGAGATAAAGAATGACTCCGCCACGCGTGATAAATTGAATTTATTCTGCGAGTTGGTATAATTTCGCTACGCCTTTTTATGAATTTCAAGTTCAAAATTTGGTTCAAAGTTGATATTAATAATTAGTAAATTTACGCGGAGAGCGCTTCATTGCCACCCGTTTTCTAATTGTTTATATTTGAGTAGAACGTTATTTTGTTACAAAAATTGTACATAATTAGAAGAAAATTAAAGGCTAATTAAATTAGAATTTCTAAGAAGGGTGCGGGGGCGGCCACTTTTGTATGGAGCCGCTCCCAATTTTTCCCGTTTGTAGAGTGTAATAACATTGTTGAGGGACAAGATAAAATATTGAAATTATTACATACAAAATTGAATTATACTGTTGGACTGCATTAAAAATTTTAACACCGAAATTTGATGAAGCTTAAAAATTTGCGAATTTAAACGGAATGTACTTCATAGGCCGCCGCTTTTCAAATGTTTATAGTCTACTACAATATTATTTATTTTGTTACAAAGTAAGTGTAAAGTTAATAGAATATTATAGGCAAGTTAAATTGGAATTTCTGGGAATGGGGATACGGTGGCGGACACTTTTGTTAAGAGCAGCTCCCAATATTTCGGATTGGTAGAGATTAATAACCCTGATGAAGGAGCAGATAAAATTTGAAATGAATACATGTAAAAGTTCACTTTCGTGTTAATCTGCCTTATTTCAACTTTGAAATTTGACTCAAAATGTGTTTTAAAAAATCGTGAATTTACAGAAAAGAGCTTCAATGGCACCCGTTTTTTAATTGTTTATAGTCGGGTCAACAACGTGCGACCTTCATAAACGGCGTGAAGTTATGTACCATAAATCACGGAAAACTTCTGATCAGAGCAGCCGGCCGCTAGAATCCTCCTGAATTCGATCTCGCATTCTAGCTAGTGTCGAAAATCCTGCCGCGCGCCGTGCGGACTCTAGGACATCCCAGTCATAGGCACTGCAGTGACATCAGTTGATGCCTTGAGCCACTTATGCCGGTCGCTAAGGTCTACAATTCAGCTTCGGACGTTTTCGTACGTCCTCCGGCCACCAAGTGGTGCCTTCTCATGTATAGTGCGGTTTTTATAGCTCTCTCCCTCACGATTATTCTTCGTGGTGGCATTAGGTGACTGTTATTCGCGTCACTCTCGGTCGTGCCGCTAAATGTCGCATGATCGCAGTGTTGGATTCGGTCGCTATCATGCGATGTCTAGCGGCGCGATAGAGATAGACGGGAAATTCAGTGACATGATGCCGCCGTGAAGTAGGGCCTTGAGGGGCCGAGTTATAAAGACCGCACTTTAGGTAGTCGTGGCGTGAGCGGCCTTAGGGGGCGTGAATGCGCGGCGGCAGTCGCTGACTCGCCTGTCGTCGCTGACTCGCCTGTCGTCGGCTGACGCGTCCGTCTCGACTCGGGAAACGCGCGGGGGCGCATTCCATTGTGGGACCTCTGGGGCGTCTGCAGCGGGCAGCGCACCGCCCCGGCACCCGCCGGTGTAAAAGCCTCCAGCTGTTAAATTAATGCCCCGCGTATCATAATCTTAGGATTTATTCGTTTGCCGCTGTAAACCGATTACAATTTATGGCATCGGCAACAGGTTTGAAATTGATAGCAACCGCGTTGCGCGCGAAGAAATATAGGCGCGTCCCGGCTGCGGTGGCTAATGCGAGTGTATTATTATTTTTCAGGAAGAGTTATTGCCAATCACGCGCGGCCGCCGATCGCGACCATTAACCCGCGAGTGCTACCGCCTGACCGCCGCCCACGGAAGCACGCGCGCGTCATGTCACGTGTCGAACGCCATGCCGTGGGTTGGCCGGACCTCGCCGCTTCCGGACACGCCAGCTACTTGATTTGTTCTTCCGTTTTTAGCGCTATTTTGTCTCATTTTATTCATGTCATCACTTTTTTTTTTTAAGATGAATGAGAGTTTAAGTGAATTAGATTCTACCAAGTTACCATTCGTTTTAACGTTGATGTAATTTGCTGGAGGTATATTCCGTAGAATTTTCCACTCTTTTACGTTCTCGATTACTCGAATCAAAATGTACACCCAGAACGATGTAATACAGACAAAAAATTTAATGACCTTTTTTTCTCTCAAAGATTGTTGACATTTTAAAGGACTATAATTGTATCCAAATACCATCCACCGCAGACACATTTTATGATTCTTTAATACGGAGTTCTTTGATTGCAAAGTGGAAGATTTGAGTACGATTTCTTTGCCTCACCCAGCTCACGTCTTCGCCTGTCTCACTGCGAGCAGGTTGGTCGAAATGAATCGTGAGTTATTATAATGCGGTTAATTTAAATCCAATAAAAATAACTGAGGAATCTATATTTCTAATTTTCAATGCGTGCAGAAGTAAAAAAGCTACACAGCCTCTGGCCAAGTGACAGACGTGTATAGTTAAGGGGTCTATTTCGTTGGATACCCAGGAACTCTGGGAAAAAATAAAACATTACTTGTTTCAATTGTGGCTGGAAATACAAATATTTTATTTTGTTATTCCGCCTTTTCTCATACTGTCCTTACCGACTAAATTGTATTTTTAGTGATTACGACACAGTTGACGTCATGCGTTAGTAATGTTTTATTGAAGAGGCCAAACGCTATTAAATATTTGCTCTGGGACAGCAACATTTGTAATACTCTTGGTAGGTATGTAAAGAACTCTTGTTTTGTATTTCAGTATACTCTATTGTTTGTTATTGAATATTCGTGAACAATTTTTTCGATTAAATATTTAATTTATTGCTGTTTTATACAAGAGTATTTCTTTTGTTTTTTTGAGGAGTGTGCGTGATTCTCTTTTGAAAACTATTTTAATTTGTTCAGAAGCATTTTTGGCTGATGAACTAGTTTAAATTTAAAAACTAAATGATTAAAAACACTTAGATATTTATTTATATAAACGATTATGATAAATATCAATAAGTGATGATTAGATATTCTTACTTCTATAAACATACGAATACATTACTAACTAGTGATGCCAAAGAATGGCTCAGTCTTTCCTGAACTAGTTGGTTTTTTAATCTCTTTGGCCTTGGCTAGCTTTCGGTTTTGCCTCTACTCTCTTCCCATGAAACCTATCGGCGTCTAACCTATGGGCTTCCCATTTTCTCAATTGACGGTCCCATACCATCAGAATAGAACTTGAGGTGCTACAGTAGCACGTATTTTAGCGTTTTTTCTATAGCTTTTGCAATTTTCGAAAATTCAGAGTCCAAGAATTTAGATCTACACAATTTTTAAGGTGTCCCGTTCTCTATCTGAGATAGAAAGAAAAAAATGAAACCTATTCTGAGAAACAAAAATTTAGTGCAATTTTCTTCAAGCAAAAATTATGTAAAAAGTACTTGTTTGTTTAAAAAATATTGTGCATTTGAAGTAATATTTTTAGCGCACATTACTCACAGATCCATTTAATACTGTCAGAGGAGAGGCCTAGCTTGGTTAATGTGGGGAATAGCGCGCCCATCCTCCAGAACGTCATCTGTAGGTACTGAACTACTCCAAGACTTCCTGTATGCTTAAGAAGAGAAACTCACCTACAAGTATAAAAATTTTAGAGATCTCCCAATTAAAAATTTTATAAAATAGAAATACACAGAAACTTATGTGTTCACGAACTTATTAAACAATGAAAAACATATATATTGTACATTTTACTCAGAGGAGTACAAACAATTATACACTGTTAGACAATGAATGCACTTGGAACGGGGATACATACGGCTGTGAATCTTGCTTGGTTTGCTATTTCAGTTATGTGTTTCGTGTATCCGTGTTTGCGTGTATCCGAAATGACCCACATGGCATGGACGTTGTTTGGCCGCTATAAATTCCCGACCAAGTGTTTCCATTTTTTTGGACCCTTTTGTAAGACTTTTCATCCAACATTTTGTTGGAAATTATTGTATGTTTTGGTTACGTTAAACTACCCCACATATTTGACATTAGCCTTCCATATAATAATAACAATAATAATAAACAGTTTTCAAATCTCTCAGTGATTTTTGAGAGTTTTAGTACTTTAATAGAGATTTAGAAATTAATAATATTTTTCATATTGTGTATATCGTTTGAATATTGTTATAAAATGTTTTATTGAATTTCTCCAAATGATTCGTTTTCTATTTGCACAAAATTCTGAAGAAGTTGCTTAATCTCAATTACAAATTATTGTGATGGTACTTGCAGAAAAGTTGCGCAGATTTACCTTCTGGCGAATCAAACTCCGCTGAGGGCTCTTGCAAATGAGTAGCATTTGTACCCGCACGTGGGTGTTGTTTTCCACAAACGGAAAACGTCAAGACGTTCGACCCGTTTTCAAATTTTCCATTAGGGTGAGTCGAACCGGACGGGAGAGCGCTCTGATTACAGAGTCAGCAACAGCGTTTCTTGCCCATTCAATAATAAATTTGAAAGGCTGGAAGTGAGCAAACGGAATTTATGGTTATTCCGTGGGGACGTGCGGCGAATCGCGGCCCCCCGAACGCGTCCAAAAAGGCGACTTCTGCGCGACGGCGTGGGGCGCTGCGCCGTTGATGCCTCGCGAATTCAAGTGGCCGCTTTATGCTGTACCCGTCCTTGGCTACAGAGAAGGACGTTGCGGCTGGATGTTGAGCATGTTGAGCACCTGCTCGTTTCGAGGGGGTTCATGACTTTTTTCTTTTTTTTTGCGAAAAATTAGTTCTTGTTTTATTGTAATGCCGAGACGAAGAAAATGTTGGGTATTGATGACAGAGTAGTTTTCATTCCCATTCTTTCGCAAATGATTTTGAAATATTGATTTTTTTTTTCTTCGCTTACTACCTATCTACGTTGTAAAGAGAATATAATGCTGCGTCGGAATTCGGCGATTTTATGACAAACAAACTTACATTATCGGATCCTAGTAATATGAAAGTGGATACATCTTGTTCCTATTCGTAGCAAATTACTTCCTCTAAAACGTTTCGTGTTGTGCCCGTTCGTGATTTGTGGGGCATCAGCCCAGAGAAATCCATTGACAGCAACATTTATGTCCGTCTGTTTGTCTCTGGTGAACGCTAGCGCCTAAACCATTCAATTTTTTCCGAAATTGATATGCCCGAACGGTCTAAACGAATTCTATATCAAATGAGTTTGAAACATGATTTTGAGAGGTACTTTAGAAGACGACCCATCAGAATTTTGCCGCAAAATGATCTAATTTATTTCTTTAATCTTATATATCATAAAGAACACAAAAAATGCGCAGGTATCATTTTGTTATCTCTGATTTTTCAAAAATTGCAAAAGTTCAAAATCTGTTTGGCCTCTTCCCACAACAGAAGTATTGAAGAGAGAGTTTTTTAAATGAAATCTGGTGTTCAAAGATATGTCATTAAATACGATCATACGCCCTTTTTTGAAAATGAGTAGTGTTTGCGTAATTCTTAGCGAAATAAGGCAAATTTTTCACAATTGATTTATCACAAAACGGTTCTAAATATTTTCTCTACATTTCCTCATGAATCAGAATATAATCTCCAATCGGTCACAAATCATCAAACTACTATCACTGGTTGCCATTGCACTTTTGCAGCCATTTAACCCCACCAACGTATTTAACATTGTATGGTCGCTCCATGTAGCACAGGCATTCCAGCTCTGCCATTGTGCGAGTCGGTGGCGTCCGTTTGGCTCCTGTCTCAGCGGCCACCGGCGCCGGCCCCGCCCCCGCCCCCGCCCGCCCCGCGCCGGGCGCACCCTCTCCGGCGCCGCGCCGCGCCGCGCGCGCCGGGTGCGTCCGGAGCTGACGTGATGACGTGTGCGTGGGCGCAGATATCTGCCATCCGCCCACGGGCGCGCCCTTCCCGGCGCCCGCGCCGGCGCTCGCCTGCGGCAGCGCCACCCTGCGGTCGCGCCCGACCACGCCCCCGCGCGGCCGGCGCAGCGCGGCGCCTCCGCCCGTCATCTTCCCTCTGGTTTGCATTCCGTCCCCGGCGCCGCGCGGCGTTCCCCTCGACCGCCGCGCACCGATTGGGGGCGATTGCTCCGCTCCCCCGGGTGCGCTCTGCACGCCGCGCACGCAGCGGCCCGCCGGCGGCCGCTCGACTAATGCAAGGAAGCTCCTAGGCGCGCAAATTCCCGCGTTCTAGCGGCCGATTGAGCCGGCGTTTGCAAGGATTCTCTTACGCGTACACATTTGCTCGTTCTAGTGGCCGATTGAGCCAGCGTTAGCAATGATTCTCTTGAACGTACAAATTCCCGCGTTCCATCAGCCGATTGAGCCGGCGTTTGCAATGATTCTCTTACGCGCACAAATTCCCGCGTTCTACGGTCGATTGAGGCAGCATTTGCAAGGAATCTCTTATGTGTACAAATTCCCTCGTTCTAGCGGCCGATTGAGCCAGCGTTTGAAAGGATTCTCTTACGTAAGTCTAACTTGCAAATTCGAAAATTTGCAAACTTACGCTAATCTACTCATATTTTTAAAAAAATGCTCATGACGTACTTTATACAACTTTTTTTAAAAAACAGATATTTAACAATCCCTCTACCATCAAACTTGGATAGACTTTTGCCATGCTAATTTTGTGTTGATTGCAATTTTCGAAAAAGAGAGAGTTCGCCAAAAATGTAACCAGTCGCAGCTTCTTTGCAACATAATAAAAAAATCGAGCCATTTTGGAAAAAAAAAGTTTAAAATAGTTTCAAAATTGCGTGTGTACCTTTGAAAATTACGCAAAATTACTCATTTTGTTTCAGAAAAATGAGCCAAAACTTTTGCATTTTTCAAAAATTTAGAATTTAGTGAAAATGCACTTCATTTTTTAATGTTTTTCTTTACGTGTTTAAAAAGTGCTCATGAACTTC